TAAATTAAATTTATTTATTAATTTTCTTTTGAACATGGGGAATTGAGAAAGTGAAGAAATTTTTCAAAATAAATAGGAGTAGAATTCTGGTTCAATTAAATTAAATTTATTAAAAATAAATAAGAAAGAGTACTAACATCCAAGATATATACGATTTAATAATTATAAATTAAGAATGATGATTTTCAAATCATATTATATATTAAAAAGTGTAATTTAATTTCTAAATTTATTAAAATATTTTTAATAAAATTAATTTTATTTATTAATAATAATTTAATTTAATAATTTTACTAGATGAAATGCACATTATTTAATAAGGAGAGTAAAAACACTTATAAAAGAAAAGATGGGATGAAAATGATCAGATAAAAAAGATAAAAATGAAAAGGATAAAAAGGAGTAACGATTGGTGGTGGACCTGGTGGTGGTGGACCTGGTGCTGGACCCTCTGCTGGACCCGGTGCTGGACCCGGTGCTGGCGCCGAGACTCCGTAGAACTGGTAAAGTTCATACCTAACTTTAAAACTGGGGTACAATGCTTGTGCTCCTATGACTCCAAAACACACATTCCGTAGCCGTTCCATGCCTAGTTCGAGACCCTTATCACAGTCATCACTTGACAGGTCCGGTGTGCACTGGACCAGACTGTACAGGGTCTTTGACTCGGAAATTTTAGCCTCCTTTGTGGCAAACCTTTCCTCCACTGACACAGCCTCAATAATCGCTTCGTTCATGGCCTTCGTCAGTGTACTGTTGATTCGATACGGATCTGGATCCGTGGAATTTTTATTGCACACATAAAATGACGGTTCTACAGCCAGAGTGGAGAAAATCCATTTGTTTGAGTAGCGGAGGAGGCATGGATCGTACCAAATCACGGCCTCATTCGCAAGAGGGCACTTCTGAATCACTTCTTTGGTGGCAAACGTGACACAATCTTGACAAATAGCGGCAGAAAATCCGGTGATGCAGAGGAAGAGACCGTAGATCCTGTCGGGGCTTTCCCCGGAAGTGGTATTATAGAAACCATTGGTAGCGGTGGCGTTGACGGAGAGGGCGGAGAGGGCGGAGAGGAGGCTGTTGAGGTTGGATTGATAAGCGCTGTCACTGGTGTGAGTGGACGTGTTGGAGCAGTCGTGGTGAATGTAATTCGGTATTATCTGAGGTTCAATGGTGAGACTGAGCAGGGAGAGCGAAAAGAGGGTAATGAAGAATCTGAAAGCAGACATTTTTATAATTATCAACGCTCAAAATGCTCGGGGAAGATTATATCAATGGGAAGAGTTACATCACTATCAATCCAGTCAATATCCCAACCCACAAGCGGACACAACGTGGAAACAAGAGTTGTATTTAACTTAAAATCATTTAGATATGTCATTTCTTTTAATTTCATGTAAAAAATTATATATATAATTTTTAATATCAAATTTTACATTAAATTTAAAATT